AAGCGTGGCGGAGGTTGGAAAAGCGTGGCGAAGGTTCGTAAAGCGTGTCGGAGGTTGGAAAAGCGTGTCGGAGGTTGGAAAAGCGTGTCAGAGGTCTGAAAAGCGTGTCAGAGGTCGGAAAAGCGTGGCCGAGGTCGGAAAAGCGTGGCGAAGGTCGGAAAAGCGTGTCGGAGGTTGGAAAAGCGTGTCAGAGGTCGGAAAAGCGTGGCCGAGGTCGGAAAAGCGTGGCGGAGGTTGGAAAAGCGTGGCGAAGGTTCGTAAAGCGTGTCGGAGGTTGGAAAAGCGTGTCGGAGGTTGGAAAAGCGTGTCAGAGGTCTGAAAAGCGTGTCAGAGGTCGGAAAAGCGTGGCGAGGTCGGAAAAGCGTGGCGAAGGTCGGAAAAGCGTGTCGGAGGTTCGAAAAGCGTGTCAGAGGTCGGAAAAGCGTGTCAGAGGTCGGAAAAGCGTGGCCGAGGTCGGAAAAGCGTGTCGCAGGTCGGAAAAGCGTGTCGCAGGTCGGAAAAGCGTGGCGAAGGTCGGAAAAGCGTGGCGGAGGTTGGAAAAGCGTGTCGAAGGTCGGAAAAGCGTGTCAAAGGTCGGAAAAGCGTGTCGAAGGTTGGAAAAGCGTGCCGGAGGTTGGAAAATCGTGGCGATAGAGAGGAAAAGCGTGGCGGAGGTCGGAAAAAGCGTGGCAGAGGTCGGAAAAGCGTGTCGGAGGTAGGAAAAGCGTGGCGATAGAGAGGAAAGACGTGTCGGAGAAGGATAAGCGTGGCGGGAAAAAGCGTGTCACAGGAGAAAGAAAAGCCTGACGGAGGTGGAAATATTTACATGAGAAAAAAGTGAAGCTAAAATCTCGCCCCTCATCTCCTGGTCCTAAATTATTGATTTGCAAATAAATTTTGCCACTGACATCATCGTAGCGAAGTGCGTGTTTGACCTAGACGGCAAGGGTTGTTTTTTTCTTGACCAAGTCAACGTCGGCCTTGGCCACCCGCTAATCCTTCCTTCAAACATTGCATCATCGCCCAATACGAATCTCGAGTTTTTGAAAATTTCAATAAAAATTAGCGGACTTGGTGACTAATGTTCTGAACGAGAACTTGTCCGCCACCACCGGGTTGTTGCGTAAGGATTGGCGAATTAAGGATAAGCGAAATACGGATTGGCGAAAAAGCGAAGCGGAGAAGCAAAAGCGTGGCGGAGAAGGAAAAAGCGTGGCGGAGTGGAGAAAAAGCGTGTCGGAGGTGAGAGAAAGTGTGTCGGAGAAGGATAAGCGTGGCGGAGAAAGAAAGCGTGGCGATAGAGAGGAAAAGGGTGACAAAAGTCAGGCGTGGAGGTAAAGGAATAGCAGGTCAAAGGACGAAAACAAAGATTGTCGAAGGATACGACAAGCGTGCCGAAGAAGCCAAGGCAGATCGAGGGAGAGAACTCTGAAAGAGAAAGAAGAAAGTATCAAAGGATAGGAACAATGGGTATGAGCAAAAGAAGTCGTCGAGCGAAGCATGCCGCACAAACAAAATGGGCAATGCGTAACAATTCACAGACAGAAGAGGTTACCATAGGCGTACCGACCCCCCAACCTGCAACATCGACTGCTTTATTTCAATCGCCTACAAAGACTCCCAGGAAAAGACATTTAGAAGAGATTTCACCACTCAAAATTAAATTGTACAAGAGTCCACCGTCTCAATATAAATGTTACGGAAAGCGTCCAAGTCTTAATTTACCAAATTCAACAATTGAAAAGGAATACAATTACAACGTGAATACTCCAACTGGACGTCGTCTGTTCACAATAGAATCTATTGATCTTTTGATGTCTGAATCTGCTAAGCATGGACGAAGCTGTGCATTTCCCTTATTGAAAATATCCAAAGAACATCGTGATGGACTCAAAACTACGCTAACAGCAACTTGCAGGACTTGTAAAAAGTATTTCACATTTTCAAATGATGAGGGAGAAAATAATCTCGCTGTCAATGAAGCTGCTATTTGGGCTGGAAATACGACAGGAGCAGGATTCACAATCATGAAACATGCAATGACAGCATTAGATATTCCTTTCTTAGTCAGTAACACATACAGTAAGCTGGAAACCAAGTTCTCCAAGAAATTACACGAAATATTTCTTCAGCAATTAAAACAGAACGGCGAGGAGGAAAAAAGGATGGCTGTAGAACTGAAAAAAGTCGGCAGTGACGGCATTCCTTATACTGATATTATTGTCGATGGCCAATGGAGCCAGCGTTGTTACAACAGTAAGGGGCGAGCTAACACTGGATCAGCTGTTGGTTTAGGAGTTTTAACTGGCAAGCCGCTCTTTGTTGGTGTGAGGAATAAAGTATGCTATATTTGTCAAACGCAACCAGACAAGGAACACGAATGTTTCAAAAACTGGGACGGGACATCCTCAGGCATGGAAACAGACATCATTATGGAAGGATTCAAGAATAGCATCAAAACGCATGGCCTTCGTTACAGGCGCCTAGTTGGAGATGGAGATTCCAGCGTTTATCAAGCAATAAAGGATACGTATATGAAAGAAAATTATTTCACAAGTGTACAAAAGATACAATGTTACCTTCATGCCATCCGGTCAATGAACAGGAACCTACTGCAAGCAATCAAAAGCAGTAATCCAAACACCGGGTACAAAAAATATGAAAGAGACTGTTTGGAAGACAGGGTCTATCTATTCGGAAAATATGTAAACTACCTCATTGCTTTGCATATTCAACATCGACCAAATGGGACAAATGCAGATACACTTGCTGACGATTTGATTGCCATGCCGTATCATATATTTGATTGTCATAAAGATTGCTCCTCGATAATGTGCAATGACGGAACGATTGTCATTCCAGATTTCTACAAGCACCGAGGTCCCACAACTGAACCAGGGTTTACCAGTTCAGCTACTCATAGAAAATTCAGGGAAATTCCTTCTGACTTTTTCTCGTCCAAGATATGGAAGGAAATCACGGCTATTATCAAGAGGCTTGCGGAGTTATCAATATCTCTAATTTATAGAATGAATACGAATCTTGCCGAGAGTTTTCAATCGCAAATCAACAAATTTGCACAAGGTCGCCGTACTAACATCATCCTAAGAGGTGGATACAATAGAAGAGTTGAAGCAGCAACACTTTCATTCATGTATGGACCCTCATGGTATGTGGATTTATACGAAAAAATGAACCCAGGAAAAACCCCGTCGGAATTATGGAAGGGTGTGCGCGAACAGTTACATAAACTTGATGCTGCCAGGAAAGCTCGTCCTCTCCAGAAACGCAGCAGAGAATATAACGTTGGAAAGTCGGACAAACCTGAGTTTTTCAGTAAACCGAACCCAGAAGGAGACAGGCATTACGGCGACAGGGCTCAACGCGAAGATAAAAATGAAGAAACGGTACAATTTGAAATTCAAAAATGGCTAACCGAGAGAAGTGTCACCACAAAAGAGGAACAATGGGAGGTACATACGAAGACAATCGGACAGTTTGAAAACGACGTGTATATAGAGCGCAGGAATGGGTTAATCACCGCAAGTATTGCAGGATCGGTTTGTGGACTGAAAAATTCTACCAGCAACGTAGGAATGATTGATGCAATTCTGCGACCACTGAATTTGTCAGGGACACCACCTATAGCCTGGGGACACTTGAACGAGAAGAAAGCAAGGGAGCTATACATGAGGCAAACTGGAGCAAGTGTTACAGATGCGGGGCTCTTCATTTCAATGGAGTTTGCCGGGTTTGGTGCCAGCCCCGATGCCTTAATAGGAGACGATGGCATTTTGGAGATAAAATGCCCATATATCGAACGGAACAAGCTTCCAGAAAATGTTGCTGCTAGAAAGAAAGGGAAATTCATTGTTCGTAATAAGGATGGAGAATACTCAATTGTCAAGACTCATCATTACTACAAGCAAATTGTTATGCAGCTACATATAACTGGGCGTGTTTATTGCGACTTTGTAGTCTGGACGCAAGGTGCAGTAGAGATCGATCCATTGACACATGAAGCGCGGCCAATTCTACCTGAAGGGCATATCCTTGTAATCAGGGTATGGAAGAGCGAAGAAACACAAAAAACGTGGGAGAAAATGCGTAGTAAGATGACTACCTTCTTCATGGAGGACTTGGTGTGGGAAATTATCGACCCAAGGTTTGATCGCAACATGGGATATAGGCAGCCAGCATATCGTCTTGCCGCTATAAAAGCAGCAGCTGCTAAAAAGGCTGCCAAGGCAGGAGCCAGTGCGACTCCAGCTGTTGATCCACCTGACGAGGATGGTCTTCTTGATGTTTAAAAGTCAATCACATAATATAACGGCTTGGATAAAAATACTATGAATCGAACACAAGGAAACTGGAACAATACCCATTGGGGGCCCAGCATTCCACAGAGTGGAGCCCTCAGTAATGCATAACAATGATCTGCTATAAATGCGTCATTTGATTGCATAACTTTGGGTTCCCTGTGGCAATTCAGCGTGGTCCGAAAAGAAAATTTCGTAGCGTCAGATGGTTATTGACATTTTTAAGCTGGTTTACATTTGTGCGTCGAAAGTATGGTGATTTCAAATTCCCCGTTTTGCCTCAAATCACCCAAACCATTGATTTTGTTGTATCTCATTTCAGTCATTTCACCCCAACCACGCCCACGACAGAGCGGGAATATTCAATTTTGCTCTACTTCATCTACAGATTCAAGTTTAGTAAAAGTCTCATTTTGCCCCAGACCACACCCCCTACGAACGAGCAGGGTGGTCCGATTGACCTCAAAAGTTGATAGGATCCTCCTTCTGGGGTAGTATGTATGATGTGGAAAACCGATTTCGATTACCTCTATCCGTTCTCGTTCTTCTGCTAACGGACAGACAGACGGACAAAACGAATACATAAAGCAGCTAACCATACATGATAATTTTTGAATATATATTCATGTGAAAAGGCTTGTTATGTAAATGAATTTTAAGCAATAAAAATTAGACAATATTTTTTAATTTCATTTATTTTAACAAAAAATCATAAAATTTATAAAAGTGGACGGCGAGCAATCCTCCTGAAGGGAATCACCTCCTCCACAGATGGTGGCCTACGAGGAGGAGATCCCGGGTCTCGTGGAACCCGCTCAGGGTGCCGGCCCCACCTGGCTCCCCTCCCACGGCTCGAGAAGCCCCCTCGAGGGTAGAAGGAGGAGAAGAAAGTGCAACTCGTTGTAGTTGTAGGTCGCGCCGCCGTCGACGATCGTGTCTCGCACCTGGAGAAAAGGGAAACAGGTAAATAAACCTCTTCAACCGAAATGTAGCAAAGGGGTGAAGCGAAACGGTCACATGGTCATAGCACATCAAAATTATGTCGATTTTTGAAATCCCCGCCCAAAACTACGTCTAAAACCGGCGTAACAAAAAATTTCCCTAAGGGGATCTTGCTTCGCTTCACCCCATAATTATTTGAGGGGTGTGGTGGTGGGGGAGATAAGTTTTCTCTTACCACTACGCCCATCCCTCCCCTCGCTCGATTCAGAAGAGGACCGTCGCCTCGCTGCGGTTTTCTTCTTTTTCTTGGTGGGGGTTGGCGTACGGAATTTTTCTCTGCGTCGACCTCCACCTTGAGAAAAAGAAGGGTAAATAATTTGAGCGAGGGGAGGAATGGTCGTGGTGGTTGGGTAAATAAGTTTTATCTTACCGCTACGCCCATCCCTCCCCTCGCTCGACTCAGAAGAGGACCGTCGCTTGGCTTCCGTTTTCTTCTTCTTCATGGTGGGGGTGGTCGATCGGCTTGAGGCTCGTCGTCTGTCTCCACCTGGAGAAAAAGAAGACCGGTAAATAATTTGAGCGAGAGGAGGAATGGGCATGGTGGTGGGAAAAATACCTTTTTTCTTGCCATCATGCTTCGTTCCCCTCTCGCTCGACTCCGAAGAGGATCGTCGCTTTGTGGCGGTCTTCTTCTTTCCCTCGGTGGGGGTGGTCGACCAGATTGAGGCTCGTTGTCTGTCTCCACCTGGAGAAAAAGAAGACCGGTAAATAATTTGAGCGAGAGGAGGAATGGGCATGGTGGTGGGGAAAATACCTTTTTTCTTACCATCATGCTTCGTGCTCCTCTCGCTCGATCCGGATGAAGACCGCCGATCTCTGGCGGTTTTGTTTTTCTTCAGGGTGGGGGTGGGCGACCGTGTTGTGGCTCGTCGTCTGCTCCCGACTGAAGAAAAAGATGAATACATTAATTTAGTGGGGGGAATGATAGGAGTGGTAAGAGGGAAATAACTTTCTCCTTACCATGATGATAGTTCTTCCCCCCACGCAATGGGGGAGAAGGGGGACCTTCGCCGTCTTCTTGGGGCTGCCCCATTTTTTAAAAAATAAAAATAACACTAAAACTACCGGAGCAGTTTTAGTTTCAGTTGGTGAATGGTGAATGTCACGCCGCATTCATCATTCACCCTTCCAAATCGCTCTCCACCACCATCGGCCAAGTCGGTTATTATTCTCCACCCACACTCGATGCATTGAGCGTGGGTTGAAAAGAATAACCGACTTGGCCGATGGTGGTGGAGGAGGAGAGCAGGACGTGCGAGTTCGCCCTACTCTCACAATGAAAAGCGCGACGCTGGATCTAATCTTTCTTCAGCATGGGTGAATATGCCCGTGAGACGACTAAGCCTTAAGTTAGCGTCACTACTCTTTTTCAGGAGAAAAAGTCTCCTGCAAGAGGGTAGTGTTAGGTATATACGTAGTGTTAGGTACATAAATAGTATGCAAAATGCAATGAAATAATTCAACCACAATTATTATTAATAAAGCCTTCCTAAACTACACATCTCTGCTCTCTCATCTCTCCTCTAAATGCATACATAACAAAAGGTAATTGGCAATTAATTTTACACGTGTCAGGTACGTATATAGGATTAAAAGGCTATTCAAAATAACGAAGATATTTACAACGATGATATTTGAAGATATTCACAGCTGCCCATATGCATGATGAACAGCTTAAACAAATAAGGATATTAATAAATAAGTATCCACTCTATGGTCTGACGAGGTCCCTGAAGTGATCTTATAAACCGTGACCACCTTTAGTATAAGGCTGACGCCAAACAATCTCGCAGTACATCAATTACTTCTGTACTTACTTGTTTTATTAAAGATATGATACCAATTAATCTTACAGATACTAGCCACATAAGATGATAAGCATATTAACAATGACGAAGATATTTACATACATAAATAGGTAACCAAATCTGATCCCCGATCTATGGGATCCCGACTGCCATCAAATCTTCAGTTTATACGTACAATTCAAATAAACCGTAGTAACGTTAGAAGTAGCTCACCCTGTAATAATGGTTTGGTTATAACTTGCCCTAAAGGTGCAGAAAAATGCAACAAAATAGTTACATAATTTTTTGCAATTATGCACCAATGGTGCAGAAAAATCCAACAACGTGGATAAATAATTTTTATGCAATGTTGCACCAATGGTGCAGAAAAATTAAACAAAATAGATGAATAATTATTATCCATCGAGCAGAGTCCAAAAATTGTGCATCACTGGTGCAGAATTACCTACCAACGATCAACGATAATTTTGAAAAATTTATGTCAAAATTGTATGATCATTGCTCCCGGATATTCTGCATTATTGGTGCGTTTTGCATCCCTTCTACCAATTATTTCGCATCATTTTGTGTTCCCGATTGTTAGATATCAATGGTCCTATTAACTTGTTAAAAAATTTGATTCGGTTTGTTTAGTACCAATGGTGCGCCTAACGTATCCAATAATGGTCAAGGGGCTGTTTAATTAGCATCAATTGATGCAAAAAACTCGTTAACAGACAGACAGACGGACAGACAGACAGACAGACGGACAGACAGACAGACAGACGGACAAGAGGAATTCAATAGCTCTCATGCTACGCAGGGCGAGCTAATAACGGATGCATGTACATAAGTATATATGAATGTAAATGTATCTTTCGCCCAAAGAGAATACAAAATTTAAGCTATGCAAAGTTAACACTATTTAATAATTTATTCCACCTCGGACGCACGCACATAGTAGGCAATTTGATGGAAAATAGCGTCCTAAACTAGTCTATTTCATACGTAAAACACTAATTATTTCAGAAACATCAACCTGTACACTTAGGATTTACATATGTCAACGCCCAAGGCGCGTGTATGTATTTCACTCTAACTAATGAGACAAATCATCATCCGCGGAGGTACTACAGTGTTCCATTTTCGGGTAATGATTACGGAGATATTTTGTCACAAGCAGGAAATAAGCCAAAAACTAGTGCACTAATATACGTCATGTCATTTGGGGCCGTCCATAAATTATTTAACGGCGTTAGGTCAACGCAAGAGGGGGGAGGGGGATGTAGGGCTCCATAAACATGTTTAAAGGTGGGAGGGGGAGTTCTAAAAATCGTGATTTTTGTGTTACATAATGATTTTTGTGTTACATAATTTATGGACGGCACCTTCGTTAAAAACAAATACATTGATTTTATCATCGGATAATATATGTAAATGTTCAATTTTTTTGTTAAAAACCAAACTGGTTTCTTAACAACTACGAACGACAACTAATTACCTTTTGGTACCTTCCTTGACAAGAAATCTCTCCCCACCAAACCGTTTCCCCAACCAGCTAAAACCCTTCCTTCCCACTTTAAGAATAAAAATACCAAACCTTATTCCACCCCGCAACAGCACGTTTCTCCCCTCCGCTACCCCCATCACAACTGACCCAACTAAACAAATTCCCCACAGGGCAAAAACAGCACCAATATTCCCTCTAATCGATAACCCCTTCAAATCATCTTCATTCCCTCCAAATTCTTCTATCTCATCCATCCTTAACCCCCTAAGTTTCCCCAATTTTCTCAACTCATCCACAACCCCGGCCTCCTTAAGTGCCGTCAATCTATCAATTATTGGTACAATTCGTCCAGGACCTCGCAACTTCCACCCTTTCCTCTTGAAAATTAAGGGCTCCTCTCCCCTCGAAATCTTCAACTTGCCCCTCCTTCCCAAATACCGTTTCAACTTTGCCTCAATCTCGTCCGCTTCAGAAGACCACACAAATGCAGCTACATTTTCGTCACAATTTTTCAACACGTTAAAAAACGTAAAGTTACTAAACCGAAATAAATGACAGTCCGGATAGACTTGCACCTTGTCGTAGAAGTAGTACCGAAAAAGTTCCCGCAATTCGGGTTTTAAGAGGGGCAATATATCGTTGACTTCAGTCTGAAAGTTAGAAGTGTAAAACTCTGCCACGATTCTGTGAAATTCCCCGAATTGGTCTTTAACTGTGAGCTGTTCAAACATTGCCATGGGTGCGTACCTCGTTTCGAACCGGGCATGATCGTCATCTTCGCAATCTTCCCGCGACTTTCGTTCCATGAAGGCGGTATTTTGAGTGTAAATGGTAAAATTGACGGGGTGTGTTTTAAACTGAGGGAAAGTTGAGATTCCCTCGAGATGCAGGGGTGACGTGAGATCTGTTATGTTTTTGCCCTTGTACGCATTCGTTAACACGATGGTGATTAGGATCCAGGGGCCAAACAGGTAAGAGAGGAAAGTTTGGGATTTCTTGCTGGTGTGTTCGCCCTGTTCTAAAAGGGCACGAATGCTAACTTCGAGGGAAATTTGAACACCAATTAGAGGTGCTTTGGAACGGATGGTGTAGGTGATGAGCAGAAACGATGAAAATGTGAAGATTGAGGTTAAAAGCGAGATCCACGTGTAGAAATCAAAGCAGGAAATAAATCCGGAAAAGTTTACGGATGACGTTGACGTCCCACCGCAAGTGACGAAAGTTAGCGTTTCGCGAGACCCTGGATATACATAAGATTTGTAAAATGCATACATTTTTTAATTTTTGCGACTTTTATGAGATTAAAATTTCTAAAACAGGTTCAACACCTTTTGAGAAAGAAAAGTTTGCAATAAAAACTAAATTAGTAATGGGCTGTAAATATATTATCTTGGATTTTTGAAACATGTGTGCACAATTTTTAAAATAGATTCACCTTTCGAAAGCAGGAAGTTATCTTCCCACACTAAAAATACCGGCATCCTCTCGAACATCTCTACTTCCCCGCAGGACGAGTCGTTGTCGTACTGTTCATCGAATATGAAGCTCAAATTTCTCGCTTCTTTTCCAACTCCGATCGATAGCAACCCAATTTCCATGGCGATATCGGAATCAAACAATTCCCACAAGAGATCCACTAAGCTCAATTTGTACCCAAGTCGAAGAATTCGGTTCGCATGTGGGTACAAATCCTCCCGTATTTTACCCCACATTCGGAGCCGGATCGGTATTTCGGAACTACAATCCAAATCATTGCGACATTGAAGACGTTCTATATTAAATTTTACCCCGGGGATGAATTTTAGCGCGGTTTTCTTAATGGCGGGACAGTTCGTGCAGAGTAATTCGGTAGATTTAATTTCGTCAAGTGAGTGAGTTAGGGTTATCACTACCCCAGTAATTTGGTTATCTAAAGCGAACGCTTCCCAAAACGAGGAAAATGCATATTCCCACTTGTATTTGACAGTTCGACGGAGAAGGACGTAATATTTTGGGGCTGAAGTTCGAAACGGATAGTCCAATGCGGTTACAGGGTACTCGTTCCAGTGACCTTGACTATACCTTATCTGGAATAACATAACATTCATGGTAGTCACAATTATGGTTTTGTAAAATAGTTTATGAAGGAGATCATTTAAGAAAAAGGGGCCGAGTTTCGTAAAATTTGTGGTCATATTTGAAACATAAGTGAACCCTTTTCTTCATACGAAATGCCCACTTTCATTCAGTCGACGGATTATGATGCTGAATGAAAATGAATTTCCCGTCATTTAATTGAAAATGACGGAACCATACCTATTCACCTTCATTCATGTGACTGATTAATTATAGTTAATGAAAACGAAATTCCTGCCATTTGAATGAAAATGAATGAAAGAGTCGGTCATTTCAGATGAGTGACTGCGAATGAGATGATTTCACAATCCTTTCATTTTGCACTTTATGCCTAATACATGGGGCGAAATATATAAGAAATGAAGTGAAATAAAATGAATTTGAACAAAAATGACTGAATGTGAATGAATATCCTCAGTCCGAAGTCGGGATGACTATTTTTTGACTGAACACTTTTTCAAATGTATTTATTTCCAAATTTTTGAACAGTTACATACATATGTATGTTTGTACCATAGATAAATCGCCCTACACAAAACTTTGATTTCTCAACTCACCTGCTCTAAATCTAGGTCCGTCCAATCTCCACATTTTACATGATCTCGATCAGACATGTAGTAGAATTTTGAAGAGTCACGACGCTCACTAAATTCTGATCTCAT